AAAAAAAAAAAAAAAAAAAAGATAATTACTACTTTAAAAATGTAAGCAAATTTTGGAAGTTAATCTCAGTTTTGTTCATTGTGAAGAAAGGACATAGAAAAACCAAATATAGAAATATAAATAAAATGTAAAATGCTCAACTTTACCCTCGCTGCCCTCTTACGTTACCGTTGTTAATGAGACGTTTAGGTATTTAGACTTATTTGCTACACATAATCTTTAATATTTTTAACAAAAGATCATATTACACAGATTGGTGTGTCACTTGCTTTTTAATGACTTATTCTGCTTTGAATATATACGTCATCACTGATGACGTGGGCTCTGATTACTTTGTGCCCATCCCACCGTCTTCACTCTTCTTTAAGTGGCATATCAATTAGTCATTGCAATTTATAGTTGGAACTGGGAGGAGAAGCTAGAACTAGAGATACAGATATCTTCAGAACATAGTAGACAGAATGGGGGAAAGTGTAAGGAAAAGACCCCAAGTTTCAGGCCAAACTTGAAGGCAGTCATGTTTACTGATGCTCAGTAACAAAGTCTTAGAAGGGACTGAGGAATCATGGCATCTCTCTGGAGGAGTGTCTCCTTGTCTTACTACTTGTCTTTAATCCTCCTGCAGCATTCCTTTTTTCAGTTAATGATACCAGTGGCACAGGACAGAAATGTGAATGTCATCCTTGATATGTGTATCTTTTCACATTGAGGCTATCACCAGATCCCCCTATTTTGCTCCCAATGTGTATGTAGTTGTTCCTTGCTGTCTGTGGGGGATTAGTTCCAGGCATCCCCCAAATACTAAAATGTGTGGATGCTCAAGTCCCCTACGTAAAAATAGTGTGGTGTAGTATTTGTATATATATTCTCCTGTGTACTTCAGATCATCTCTAGGTTACTTACAATACATGATACAATGTAAATGCTTTGTAAATAGTTGTTATGCTCTTATTTAGATAATGACAAGGAAAAAAGTTTGTACAATTATCTTTTTTCTTTCCTGAATATTTTCAGTCTTTGTTTGGTTGAATCCATGGTTGCAGAGGATCCATGGATCTGGTCAAATACAGAGGGTCCAACTGTATTTCACGTCTGCTCATTACATTACCTCCCATGAGCGCAGGTCTGCAACCCAAGCCACAGTCATCTTGAACCTGGACTACAGTAATAGTTTCAGACTGGTCTTTCTTCATGTTTCTTTGCTTCGCTTCAGTATGTTCTCCACATTGCAGTGACCATGATATTTTTTGAATGCAAACAATCACTTTGTACCTCCCTCCTTAAAATAACTTTTCATGTCTTCCTATTACTCTAAAGTTCAAAGTTTCTAATGTCGTATAAAATCCTATACGATTTGGCTTTTCCCTTGCTACCTTATCTTTTGCTATTAGAATTTTGGAGAACTTGTATCCTCCATAGGGAGCTTGATAGCTCCCCACTATGTAAAGACACTTTGGGATGTGATGATATGGATATGAGTGTCATGTTCTGATATTGTGTAATAAAAAGTGTTAACAATTGGAAGATTTGTATACAGTGATGAATCAGTATTTTCCAAATGATCACTGCATGATATTTCAAAAACATTCCTTGAAAGTACAGGATATGAACTTAATGTAACAGAATTTGAGAAGTTCATTGATAAGATTTTCAGATACCATATTGTAACTGATCTTTATGTAACTCCCACTGGTCAAGTTTTTGAATATGCAAGAATATTAACATCTTTCTTTCCAACAACGTATTTGTGTTGGATCAGATTTTGTCGCTTCTACCACAACAGTCTATTGTGCACCAGAGTGAATGCAGAGGCAGGTAGGAGAATCCAGCTATCCTCTTATAATTCAGATTTTAAAGATAATTTTAAGTTGGTAAAGCATTGTCATCCTTCTCATTATATTATTTTGATTTTGGAAAAAATAGTTATTTTCATCAAATTGTGCTCTTTCAAATACTTAATGAGTTTATAATCATTATTAAATTTCCATATCTTTAAATTTCAACTTCGGTAAAAGTCAGTAGAGTCAACATAAACAAAAGTTTGGGCTCTTAATATTTTAAAGCTATGCAGAGGGGCATTACGATTGAGAACTGTTTTTCTGGCCTTATTTTTCTTTCTTTTCCTCAAATATGCCGTGTTCCTTCTTACTGCAGGGATTTCACTCCCATTTTTTCTGTCTGGCTTCTACCACTTCAATGAAATAAATGGTAGAAATCTCTCATTCTTCCTAAGACTCTCATCATTTCATTAGGGAAGCATTTTACTACCTCTCCCTTTACTGCCCCTGGACTTATCAGTCCTTTTAATTTCTCTTAAGTAAAACTTCGTACTTAAAAAGAAAGTCCAGTTGTATACTTGTTTAGTGCCTAATAGCCACTAGCACAGAATATACAAACTTCACGAGGACTGGGGCCTGTCTTTTCACTCTTTCGTCTCCCAGGTCTTTCTTGGATTGAGTAGGCGCCTACCCCGTGCTTTTGTCGTCGCTGTTGTTGTTTCACATGCCAGGCCCTGTGCTGCCTCCCAGTAGCACTGTGGAAAACAAATTAGGACAGATGAGTCTGGCATTCAGTCGTTCTTCAGTTGTTGATGGCACTTTTTACATATTACTGTTTTTTTCCATCTCTGGATTCTGTTTGACTTTGTCTTCAAAGGAATTCTGATTAAAGGAGTGCTAATTCTAGAAAAAATGGAAAACAGTCAATACAATCCTGTTCTATAGTGGTGGAAGATGTCTCCTTATGTTGCCTATGTTGGTCTCTAACTCCTGGGCTCAAGTGATCTTCCCACCTTGACTTCCCAGAGTGTTGGGATTATAGGTGTGAACTCCCACACCCAGCCATGGGAACTCTTTCATGTTCTTCTTTCTGTTTGTCTTGCTGTGGTTTTATTGGTCACGTATTTGTGGCCACATGGTTTTCTTCTTCTTTTTTTTTTTTTGTTTAAGACACACTGTATCACTTTGTCAGTAGAGTGGCTGTGGCATCACAGCTCACAGCAACCTCCACTCTTGGGCTTAGGTGATTCTCTTGCCTCAGCCTCCCGAGTAGCTGGGATTACAGGTGCCTGTCAGAATGCCCGGCTAGTTTTTTTTTGTTGCAGTTTGGCCGGGGTCGGGTTTGAATCTGCCATCCTCAGTATATGGGGCCAGAGCCCTACTCACTGAGCCACAGGTGCCTCCCGGTTTTCTTCTTTTAAAAACTATTCATGCTAGCTTAAAGTATTTTTATGATTATAAAGTAGTATTTTTCATTGTAGAAAATTGATAAATATACAGACTGCAGGGAAATAGAAAAATTTTACAAATATTTTAAAATGTTTCTTTAATCTTTTTAATGTATTCTGATTATATATATATGCACACACACTCACCTGATTGAACTGATTGGGCGATAGCTAATGACAGTATCTAGTTTATTATTTTTCCTCATTTAGAATCTAAATTAGTTGTTAATGTGAACTTCATGTTACCTGAAAACTATTACTCATATTTCTTACTAATGTGTAGGGCTTCTAATTGCTTTTATTCAAATCTGCTTTTGTATCAAGGAAACTTGTATCTACTGTTTTATCAATACCACTTCTGTTGTTGAGGCACTTTGTAAGCATTTATTTATGTTCTAATAAAAATGGAGTAGAGGCCATAAGTATTGATGTGACTGTTGTCTTTTAAGATAATCTTCACCTATCTTAAGACGTGTCTTTTCTTTGTCTTAGGAAATGGAAAGGTCAGTAGTTGCACAGCTGCTGAGGGCAGTTTCACGTCTCTCACTGGACTCCTGGAAGTTGAACCCCTGCACTTCACTTGTGTCTCAACTAGTGATGGAACAAGAATAGAAAGGGATGATGCAAGTACGTTTACTGGTATATACCTGCTTTTACTATATATTTTATGCAGTAGTAAACAAAGTGATATGTAAGTATTTAAATATAAGTTCTATCTAAGTTTCATTGCTGTCATGTTTAGTGGAAATTTCTTTATGGGAAGGACTTTGGGGGGGAATATAAAGAGTTTCATATACTTTTTAGATTTGACTCATAGAGTTATTCCCCCCACACACACCACCACTAGAACAGTCTTAAATCTTTCTGTTCTTGTCTGTGCACTTTCAGAAACTCTTTAATTTGGAAAATATCAAGTGTGTGTGCACTTTCAGAAATTTTTTTAATTTGGAAAATATCAAGTTGTAATATCAAGAGTAAAATAGACTCTGTGTTTCCACCACTCAGCAATAACCATTGTCAGATGGTGACCAGTTTTGTTTTGTCTACACTATGTGTCGTTTTGGCATCATAATGTTATTTCTTGCATTTAACATGAGCAGTATATTTTGTGATGTCTTTCAAAAATTCGAGATGAAAAGCAAGGGAATGCTATTTTTGCAACTAGTTTAAAGCAACTTTGAATATCTGAAACACTATTTGAGTGTGTTGAATATATGATGGTATTATTTTCAATAAAGCCCGTAGCTCAGTGAGTAGGGCGCTGGCCTCATACACAGAGGCTGGTGGGCTAGAACTCGACCTGGGCCAGCTAAAACAACTAGGACAACTGCAACAACAACAAAAAATAGCTGGGTATTGTGGCAGGTGCCTATAGTCTCAGCTACTTGGGAGGCTGAAGCAAGAGAATTGCTGAAGCCCAAGAGTTTGAGGTTGCTGTGAGCTATAGCGCCACGGCACTTTACCTAGGTGACAGCTTGAGAGTCTCTCAAAACAAAAACAAAAACAAACCTTTACTTAAAAATTAAGTCTTGAGTATTAATCAGTGGAGTTTTGTTTCCTTTGTTGTTTTCTGTAATTTTTTTCTTCACATGGTAGGATTAGTGTTTATAATTAGTTTTATCATAGCACGAATAATTGACGTTATATAATTAACAATATTAGTTATTGGTATATGGTTTTACAGTGACTGAAGGGTTTGAATATTGTGTTTGAAGTGATTCTGCTGGTGCTGGTTTTGTGTCATGAATATGGTCTTAGTCTCGTTGACAGTTTAACAGAAAGAGGAAACAATTTGCATAAGAAGTTATGATAATTTTGTCTTGGGCTTGTCTCCAGAATGGCAAGGGCTTTTATTTTTATTTATTTATTTTTTTGTCACCCTCAGTAGGGTGCAGTGTGTCATAGCTCACAGCAACCTCAAACTCTTGGGCTCCATAGATCTATTTGTCTCATCTTCCCGAGTAGCTGAGACTACAAATGCCTGCCACAACGCCAGGCTGTTTTTAGAGATAGGGTCTCTCTCTGGCTCAGGCTGGTCTCAGACTCTTCCCAAGTGCTGAGATTACAGGCGTGAGCCATCATGCCAGGCATGGCAAGGGCTTTTAAAAGGAATTTATCAGTTCTTCATTTTAGCATCTTTTTATTCAAGATTGTCTTATATCTTGACATCAAAGTGACCACTAAGTATAATTCATAGCTTATGTACTGAAGATAAGCTTTTACCTAAGAATATAATGTTTCCCTTATATGAAGATTCTGGAAGGATCAAAATTAATTTGTATTTGTTTTCTTGTATTTCTTTATCATATTCATTTTGTAATAACTTTTATATTTTTGGTGGAGTAGAAACATGCCATAACAAAAAATTTTGAACTTCATAAAAGTTATTTATAAATCAGGCTCTTCTTAGGAACTGGTTTGAAATGAAGTATTCAAAAATCTTACCTTAAGAAAATTTATTTTTGTGAGTAAGTAATGCTTTTAGAAGGTATAAAATTAAAAACTAAAAGATTAGGTTTAAAATCATATTCCTCCACACTCTCCATCCTGCAAAGCAAGCAATTATCTTTTCAGAGGTAGTCTGTACATACAAACGATCACTTTTGTATTTTTTTCCCCATCTGAAACCACTGCCAGTAGAGGGTTTTTTGAAATGTTTTATCAAAGTCCCTACTAGTGATTATATGGAGCTGAGACATGATTGTAATTTGTCAACTTCGAATGTTAACAAGTTTACTTTTGTGAAACACGTTAAGTCGTAAAATAGAATAGTCATGCCAAAAGAGCCAAAAACAATTGCATAGCTCACAGTTTATCATGACACATGTTGAATCTGTGACTACTACCACATAAAGAAGTAACATTGCCAGCACCACAAAGTGCATGTTCATGTTCGCTTCCATTCGTGTCTCTCTCATTCTCTCCAAAAGGTAAACATTGTTCTAAGTTTTAAAGTAATCACTTCTTGGCATTCATTTTATTTGAATAACCATTTAATCATGTATTCCTCACTGCTCGTTGAGTAGGGTCTGTATAATATAGAATTACGTGTATCTATGTATATATGTTTATATATTTTGGTTTGCCGTCTCTTCAACACTGTGATTATGACATTAATCTTTTTTTTTGACATTAATCTGTGGATACATCATTACCTATAGGCAGTTGGGTTTTTTGGTTGCTGTTCATGTTTCCCTTGTCTGAATAAACAATTTATGTGTCCACTATTGATTTGTATACTATTGATAGACATTTGAATTATTTCATTGTGAGACCATTAGTACTAATGGATATACTTTTCTCTTGGATGTGAATGTAGAAATTGATTCATTGCTTCATAAGGTATTCATATGTTTAGCTTCAATAATCTTTTTGCTATTGATTTTTATTTCAAATTGCCAGGACTCAAAAGAAGTACTCTGATTATTAATCTTACATCATTTATTAGTAATGATATCAGTTTTTGTAAATATTCCATGCATGCCTAATAATGTTTACTCTGCACTTGTTGGCGACATATACTCTATATATCTATTTGGTCAGGTTTGCTAATTCTGTTTTTGAAAATCTGTCTTTATTCATTATTTTATCTACTTTATTTTTTCTTGGCTAATGAGGCCTATAAAAATTTTTGGTATAACTGTGGATTTAGTTTTATTAATTTTTATTGTATACATTCTGAGATGGCCATATAAATGTAGGATGGTTGTATCTTGGGAATTAATTCTCTCAGAATTATGAGTTATTTCTTTTTTTTAAACATGGGATCTTGCTGTATTGCCCAGGCTGGTCTTGAACTCCTGAGCTCAAGAGCTCCTCCTGCCTCTCAGCCTCCTGACCAGCTGAGATTACTGGCATGTGCCACCATACCTAGCATGAATTATCTTTTTATCTCTAATTGGGCTATTTCTCCTAAGATCTAACTTGTCTGATATGTATACACTGACACCAACTTTGCTTTTGTTGCTATCTGCATGGCATATATTTTTCTATCCTTTTACTCTCCAGTTTTCAGTGTCTCTATATAATTTAGATACTCTTTTATAAGCAGCATGCAGTTGCTTTTTAAAAAAAAAAATCAAGCTTGATATTTTTGTTTTTCAGTGGGAGCATTTAGTTTAGCTGCATTTAATCTAATCAGTAATACATCTATGTGTTTAAATATCTTAATAATCTATGTACTTTATATCTTAATATTGTGTGGTTTGCATCTTAATTTTGTTTATTTTAATTCCTATAATACATTATGATTGTAGTTTTAATACTTAGTATTCACTTGGATTTACCGCATCATTCCTTTTTCTTCTTGGCCTTACATTTTTAATCTGATATGATTTTTCTTTTTCTTTTGAGGCAGAGCCTCAAGCTGTTCCCCTGGGTAGAGTGCTGTGGCATCACAGCTCACAGCAACCTCCAACTCCTGGGCTCAAG